ATTATTGACTTAGGAAATTTTATTTGAAGAAATTAATTATGCACACCTATCCCAATTTCCTATTTCATGCACTTATTTAAGGTAAGAGCTTCACACTACACTGCAAAATTAATTATTCACATTTAGTTAAAGTCATTGAGTCATTGAATTGAGCACTTTAGCTCTTATTAAGCATGCCTTTTTGAAATCATCAAGAAAGATTTCAAAATGTTTGGGACCTTTAATACTTATTTTTGAGCGGGAAATGGCATTTTGGGAGCCAATTTGCAATGTTTGCTCATTGCCATAAGTACACTGTAAAATGACAATTATTATGCCGTCACATTTTTATACTAACACTCCGCATAGTCAAATATATCGATATCAAACAAAGTCATCTATTGTCTCATATTTTCCTTTATTACTCAATTAGTTCGTGAAACCCCCGAAGTTCAAGCTAAATTGGGTTGGGCCTCCATATATTTCTAAATAAATAAGCTAACTGACTTGATTCTGACGCTTACAAAGATACAATGGTCTTGGTAGTATCTTCAACCGCTGTTAGCTTCCGATAGAAGCGATACCTACACTAAGTTTAATTAATCAACTAAAACAAGTCGAATTTCAAGCCCTTTTTATAATCAGGATTTAATCATACTTTGACGCAACGGAACGCACTCTGGGACTCCAAATAAATCCGTCGGCACCAATGATTTATTTGTATGGATGAACTGTTCGGACTTTTTGACCTGATTATACATGGGCTTGTAATAAATGGCTTTATTGTTCAATTACGCAACCACTGGCTTTATGATCATGATATCGTTGATCAGTTCTGGACTGTTAAAGTTTACGGTGCCTTATGGTTTCTCCTTTGAATTTATATGAAATTAGCTGTACTAGACGAACTTGGTGTCTTCAATTACATAAATTTATCAATTAGTCTGTTCACAAAATATCGCCAATGGTAATACATAAGAACATATACTAAAAAGTTGGCCTTATTTTCTTTCACACAACAGGAAAACAAGACGAATAGGTTAAATTACGACATCAAATTTTCCTGAC